CTTTCCTCCCTCACCCCATACCTCTCTTTTCAAGCAACTAAGCAGTATCTTCTGTTTGCTTTATACAAAGGTTGGTTCTGTAAAGGTTCCAGAGACTTGAAAGATAGATGCCTTTGAGGATCTGACAGCCTGTTTAGGGAGGTAGGACCCATATCTACATGGAGAAAGACTCTGGCAAATATAATATAAGGTAATGCATGTCTGCCAGTCATCCTGAGACAGGAGAATAGGGTCTGGAGGCAGGGAACCTAAGGCTGATTCACTCTGACTTCCTAGAGCCAAATCAAAAGGAAAAACCCAACTTTCCACACTTACGAAACAAGAGGACCAGAGGCCTACAAGATTGGAGATGGTAGGAACCCCTTGAAGCCTTATGGGATGAAGAAGAGTCCACCTAGGCAGAGAGCCAAGATGGGGAATGGGAGGCCAGCAGAGGCCTGTGAAGGCATTATCTTGAGTGAGTACAGGTTCATCTGAGAGACCATAATGAAGTAAGGTGCCAGAAAATGGAGACACATTATCCTGGGGTCACAGTGCCATCTTGAGCCTATCAACACTGAAGATTTATAAGCAGAGAGGGAGATATCAAAGTAGTACATTGGAAAGAATGATCTGAAGGGGTGGGAGGCATAGGATGGATTGAAAAGAGGCAAGTTGCAGTTTTCTCAGCAAAGTGATGGAGGCCCAACATTTCCTCATCCAGGGATTCTGTATGAAAAGCAAAAAATGAATAGGACCAGATACAGCGGCTCATGCCTGTAATCCCACCACTTTGCTGAGGTGGGCAGAACACTTGAGCTCAGGAGTTCAAGACCAGCCTGGACAACGTGGTGAGACCTTTTCTCTACAAAAAATAAACAAAAAATTAGCTGAGCATGTTGGCCCCTGCCTGTAGTCACAGTTACTCTAGAGGCTGAGGTGGAAGGATTGCTTGAACCCAGAAGTTTAGGCTGTAGTGAGCCGAGACTGCACCATTGCAATCCAGGCTGGGCAACAGAGCAAGACCTTTTATCTTAAAAAAAAAAAAAAGAAATACACAGGAGATGGAGGTTGTAGTGAGCCAAGATCGCGCCACTGCACTGCAGCCTGGCGCCTGGCGACAAAGTGAGTCTCTGTCTCAAAAAAAAAAAAAAAGGAAATACAATAAATAAATACAAGAAGGAAAGAAGAAAGGCAGCGTTACCCAATGAAAGAGGCTGTGGGGCCAAGCAAACAGAGTTAAATCCTGGTTCTGCCATTTACTGTCTATGTGTCCTTAGATAAGTAAACCCCCCACGCCAGCCTCGTGTTTCTCGTGTGTCACACTTACACTATGAGGATTAAAAATATAGACAGATAGATCGTTAGATACATATATAGGGTATCCCTCTTGGCCCAAAGCATACCTAACTCATTTTTGTACCCTCAGCACTGGACACAAAGTAGAAAATAAATATACTTTCAAGTAATTGGAAAGCACTTAGCACACTGCCTGATATAAACCATTTATTTATCCATTACTCATTCCTTCATTTAACAAGTATTTACTGAGGAATGTCACTCTTTTAGGCTTTGAAGATATAGTAAATTGATCTAATAATTTTGTATCAGGGCACCTGAGTTACATCTGTATTGATCCATACTTAGCATTGAATTATTAATTATTCTGTTGTAGAACACAAAGGGATTTCAATTACTTTCATAAATATGACCTTCTCACCACAGAGAAGCTGTTTCTTTTTTTTTTTTTTTTTGAGACGGAGTTTCGCCCTTGTTACCCAGGCTGGAGTGCAATGGCACGATCTCGGCTCACTGCAACCTCCGCCTCCTGGGCTCAGGCAATTCTCCTGCCTCAGCCTCCTGAGTAGCTGGGATTACAGGCACGTGCCACCATGCCCAGCTAATTTTTTGCACTTTTGGTAGAGACGGGGTTTCACCATGTTGACCAGGATGGTCTCGATCTCTTGACCTCGTGATCCACCCGCCTCGGCCTCCCAGAGTGCTGGGATTACAGGCTTGAGCCACCGCGCCCGGCGAAGCTGTTTCTTATTAGCCCCATTTTTCTGATGAGATAACAGGCCCAAAGAGCAACATGGCCATTCTTATGTAATAATCATATAAGTGATTTATATTCATGCTATTATTTGTGATAATAATAATATAACATATTATTTTATACTTTACTACAGGGACAAAGTTTTCATGAAGTATGCAACTTTTGCGAAATTTACATCTCATGCCCTGTGCTCCTAGGAGAACAGAGACCAAAGGCTACAGTATAGGAAGAGAGCTGGCTAATGTTCTCTGCACCTAAGCTTTTATTTATAGTCTGCTTTATAAGAGCATTTCTAATTATTGAAAAAAGAGCCCACTTTTCAGCGAGTATATTTACATGTGATGGTAGAACGGTTGCCATAGATATTCATTACTCTAGCTTGTTGCACATGATTTGATCTACATTTTTAGATGTAAAAATATGTATTTCAGTGTAATTGGAAGAGAGTTCCTTCTCTAATTTGCCCACTTGGCATAAATAGTTCATTCATGGAAATAAAATTATTTCTTCTTTTGTTTTGTTTTGTTTTTGAGACAGAGTTTTGCTCTGTCGCTGAGGCTGGAGTGCCTGGTGCCATTTCTGCTCACTGCAACCTCCGCCTCCCGGGTTCAAGCGATTTTCATGCCTCAGCCTTCAGAGTAGCTTGGATTACAGGCACCTGCCATCAAGCCCAACTAATATTTGTTTTTGTTTTGAGACAGAGTCTGGTTCTCTCACCCACGCTGGAGTGCAGTGGTGCAATCTCGACTCACTGCAAACTCCAAATCCTGGGTTCAAGTGATTCTCATGCCTCGGCCTTCCAAGTAGCTGGAATTACAGGTGCCCGCCACGACACCCAGCTAATTTTTGTATTTTTAGTGGAGACGGGGTATCATCATGTTGGTCAGGCTGGTCTCAAACTCGCAACCTCAAGTGATCCACCCACCTCGGCCTTCCAAAGTTCTGAGATTACAGGAGTGAGCCAACATGCCCAATCTTAATTTTTGTATTTTTAGTAGAGACGAGATTTCACCATGTTATAAAGGCTGGTTTCAAACTCCTGACCTCAGGTGATCTACCCACCTTGGCCTGCTAAAGTGTTGGGATTATAGGTGTGAGCCACCACGCCCGGCCATATTCTTTTGATTAAATAAAAACCCTGGCACTTCGAGTTGGCACTTAGATCGTTGAAGGCACTTCTGGAACATTCATTTTTCAAACATGTTTATATTATTCTTCCACATCTTACCCAGCTGATGAGAAAATCACACAGGAAAAAAGAGACAGGATGGAGACAGGGAGCTTACATTGTTACAACAGAGGCTACAGGAATACGAGATCTGTAAGGTACCTTGGCATTCTAGTCAATCCACCTCAAACTTGACCTTTCCTTTTTTGTTTTTCAAAATTTCAAGCCTGTGAAGGGCTGTCAGAGACAAAGCGCAAGGTGTGACTAAAGCAGTTGTTGTAGCAATGGTGTTTTCCAACCTTGTTTCTTCTACTTGGATTTCATATGAGAATAAGAGCTCCCAGGTATCAGGCACATTTGCGGCTCAAGATGGCAAAGGACATCTGATGACATGTGGTACTGCACGTTGCATTTTATATTCATTCTATACCCCATTTGGAAAAGCAGACAAGCTGTCTGGTGTCAGCTTTAATCTCCCAGGGATCCAGGGAGCTAAAGGGCACCCTCCCCCAACTCTGGCCCTGAACTTTATGAAACCTGCTCCTCTTCAGTGAGGATCAGGAAACTGAGCTACAAACACAGAAAGCAACAGAATGTTTTAAATGGACATGAAAATGTTCTTAATCAAGTGCAAATTTAGCCCAACAGGTTTTTTTGGACTTGCACTTCAAACCTGGGAAGTTAGAATGAATTCCTTTTCTTTTTTCCTCCTCCTCTTCTTTTTCTTCTTCTTACTTTTTCATAGCACCATCATCCTTGCTTTTATGTGAAGAGACAATATGCATGTTTAAGAAGTCCCAGCAGGGAGCAGCCATTTTTATTCCAAAGAGATACCACAGATAAAAAGAGTTGGAGAGAGGGTCAGCCATAGTTTGACATTTGTCATTTTCTAACCACTGATGGGCAATGTCTGCGGAACTGCTGCTGTTACTGCTGCTACAATAACGCATTCAAATGAGAAGGAAACTATGAAACCTGGATAGACATTCCAAGCGTGTAGCTGAATCTAGGCTGTACACCAGCACGAGGGGGGTGGCTTTTCCCATGTCCCTGTCTACTAACATATGCAAGCTTCTCTCACCCAGACTGACTTTCAATGATAATCCTATGCAACATTTTCTTTTTTTTAATTTTTATTTATTTTATTTTTTTTTGTGAGACGGAGTTTCGCTCTTGTTACCCAGGCTGGAGTGCAATGGCGTGATCTCGGCTCACCGCAACCTCCGCCCCCTGGGTTCAGGCAATTCTCCTGCCTCAGCCTCCTGAGTAGCTGGGATTACAGGCATGCACCACCATGCCCAGCTAATTTTTTGTATTTTTAGTAGAGATGGGGTTTCACCATGTTGACCAGGATGGTCTCGATCTCTTGACCTTGTGATCCGCCTACCTCGGCCTCCCAAAGTGCTGGGATTACAGGCTTGAGCCACCGCGCCCGGCCGCAACATTTTCTTAATAATTTTCAGAGGCCTGGGCACGGTGGCTCACGCCTATAATCCCAGCACTTTGGGAGGCTGAGGCGGGCAGATCACGAGGTCAGGAGTTTGAGACCAGCTTGACCAATAGGGTGAAACCCTGTCTCTACTAAAAATACAAAAATTAGCCGGGCATGGTGGTGTGCACCTGTAGTCTCAGCTACTCAGGAGGCTGAGGCAGGAGAATCACTTCAACCTGGGAGGTGGAGATTGCAGTGAGCCAAGATTGCACCACTGCACTCCAGCCTGGGTGACAGAGTGAGACTCCGTCTCAAAAAAAAAAAAAAAAAAAAAAAATCTCAGAGTATGTGGTGCTTTATTCCAGCATGCAGGAGGCTTCGGGGGTTGGGAAGAGGATGCATACAAATTGGCAGGAATGAAGAAGGGGCTCTTCCCTGCTCCTCTAATCCCACCACTTCCAAGAGAAACCTGCTTTCTTCCCCCTTGACTTCCCAGGACCAAGGTAAGGAAGTAGCTAAAAAATAATACATGAAGAGAAATTCGTTTTCATAAGTCAGACTTCCAGTTTTAAACAACCTAGTCTAATTTCCATGACCTCCAGCTTTATTTCCTTTAAAGTATGGGTTCATATGAGACTGCCTGTCTTTAATAAATAGGTATAAATGATATGATCTTTAAATTTTGCTGTTTTTAGTAAATATTTGAGTTACTTTGAAGGAAAGAATGTGATAAAACCTCCTGGGGTGTTAGCAATGTTGTATATCTTAATTCAAGTGGTGTTTACATGGGTGTATACATATGAAAAAATTCATTACTTCACATTCATGCATGTTACTGTATGCATGTTATACCTTAGTACAAAAGCAGGAAGGGTACAATAAATCATGACTATGATTATTTGAGTGGAAGGGCTGGGATGGTGTATATACACATATACACATACATATATAATTATATAATTCATTAATAATATAATTTGTTAATTACATTATTTGGGAACTTTTATGCAATTTACAGCAAATATGTATGACTTTTACCATCTAAGCCTATATATTTTCTTTTTAAAAAATGTCCTGGTTCACCAGGACAGTAGATAGTGAAAGCTCTCACTTTTCTTTTTTTTTCTTCTTTTTTTTTTTTTTTTTTGAGACGGAGTTTCGCTCTTGTTACCCAGGCTGGAGTGCAATGGCGTGATCTCGGCTCACTGCAACCTCCGCCTCCTGGGTTCAGGCAATTCTCCTGCCTCAGCCTCCTGAGTAGCTGGGATTACAGGCACGTGCCACCATGCCCAGCTAATTTTTTGTATTTTTAGTAGAGACGGGGTTTCACCATGTTGACCAGGATGGTCTCGATCTCTCGACCTCGTGATCCACCCGCCTCGGCCTCCCAAAGTGCTGGGATTACAGGCTTGAGCCACCGCGCCCGGCTTTTCTTCTTTTTTATAGAAATAGGATCTTGTTCTGTCATCCAGGCTGGAATGCAGTGGTGCAATCACAGTTCACAGCAACTTCCAGGCTCTAGCGACCCTCTCACCTCAGCCTCCCTCCTGAGTAGCTGGGACCATAGGTGAGCACCACCACCACGCATGGCTGGTTTTTTTTGTTTGTTTGTTTGTTTTGTTTTTTACTTTTAGTAGAGGGAGGCAGGGTCTCAGTAAGTTTCTCAGGCTGGTCTCAAACTCCTGAGCTCAATCGATCCTCCTGCTTCAGCCTCCCAAAGTGCTGGGATTGCAGGCATGAACCACTGTGCCCAGCCATCATGTTTTTTTACTCACTTTTTTCTTACGTGTCTGAAGTTCCCTGTCTTTTACTTATATCATACCTCAATTCACTTAAACAAAAGTCTTCTTTCTTCTTGTATAATTCTCATTTACCAAAATAGCTACTCTTTGTGCCTTCTCAGGACTTTCAGGCGAATGTGGGTAATGGGTGATGACTAGAACTCAGTGCTGAGTTATCAAGGCCTGCCCAGGATGCTCAGAAGCTAGAAGAGCTGGAAGAGTGAATGCAATCATGTTCTGGAGGGAGAGCCGAGGATCAAGAATGAGAAGTGACTGTATATATACACCATCATGGAATGGAACTGGTGACATTGCCAGCTACAGAGTCAACAGAAATTGGGTAAATGTAAAACTTGATTGGGTCAGGTACAATGGCTAACACTTGTAATTCCAGCACTTTGGGAGCACAAGGCAGGTGGATCACTCAAGGTCGGGAGTTTGAGACCAGCCTGTTCTCAAAATTATCTGGGCATTGTGGTGCAGGCCTGTAATCCCAGCTACTCAGGAGGCTGGGGCAAGAGAATCTCTTAAACCCAGGAGGTAAAGTTTGCAGTAAGCCGAGATCATGTCTCTCCTCTACAGTCTGGGTGACAGAGCAAGACTCCATCCCAAAAACAAACAAACAAAAAAACAAACAAAAAAAACCACCTGATTGGGAACTAGTGAGGAAAGTCAGAGATGACAGCTACACATCCTGTTGTGGGCATGGCCCATCTTTACTAGTCAGGAGAAAGAAGCTGGGTGCCTGGCTGTAAGACTACTTAAAGGTAACTGATTGAGATGCTTCTCTACTCTGAGTTGATTCTCGTTAGTTGTTGCACTTTTAAGGCCCAATACTGGCTAGACTCCTTTGATGTTTCCTTAAGGCTGGTATAAGAGGTTGCTGTGAGACCCTAGATAATATCTATTCTTTATTGAGCTCTTGTCACCTATAAACTTCCCTAAAAATATTATGTGTCCCCTTTTGAACACTTACCATGCATTGTTTAATCTTTGTGATATCTCCATGAATAGGTTCTAAAGTGATGCCTATTTCACAGAGGAGGAAACTGAGGATCAGGGAGACTAAATCCTTAGCCCATAGGCACCCAGATGGTCAGTGTCAGGGCTGAGAGTTGTGCCCAGTTCTGATATAAAAGCCTGCACTCTGACCATCATGCTTGCTGTCCAACACTATTTGCATCCAGTAAGACCCGGTTTCATTTGAAACAATCGGTAGTCAGTCATGGCCTAGACCCATGAACTAAGGTGGTGAAATATTTTCTTTCTTTTTAAAAATTGAGGTAAAGACCAGGTGCAGTGGCTCATGCTATAATCCCAGCACTGTGGGAGGCCTGAGGCGGGTGGATCACCTGAGGTCAGGAATTTGAGACCAGCCTGGCCAACATGGTGAAATTCTGTCTCTACTAAAAATATAAAAAATTAGCCAGGCGTGATGGCACATGCCTGTAATTCCAGCTACTTGCGAGGCTGAGGCATGAGAATCGCTTGAACCCAGGATGTGGAGGTTGCAGTCAGCTGAGATCATGCCATTGCACTCCAGCCTCAGTAACAAGAGTGAAACTCCATCCCCCCCCAAAAAAAAAGGCTGGGTGCGGTGGCTGTTGCCTATAATCCTAGCACTTTGGGAGGCCGAGGCGGGTGGATCACGAGGTCAGGAGTTCAAGACCATCCTGGCCAAGATGGTGAAACCCCGTCTCTACTAAAAAGTACAAAAATTAGCTGGGCATGGTAGCATATGCCTGTAGTCCCTGCTCCTGGCCTGTTGATATACTTTTTTATTTTATTTATTTATTTATTTTTGAGACTGAGTGTTGCTCTATCGCCAGGCTGGAGTGCAATGGCGCAATCTCGGCTCACTGCAACCTCCACCTCTTGGAGTCAAGTGATATGATTCTTCTGCCTCAGCCTCCCGAGTAGCTGGAACCACAGGCACGTGCCACCATGCCCAGCTATTTTTTGTAGAGACGGGGTTTCTCCATGTTGGCCAGGATGGTCTCGATCTCTTGACCTCATGATCCACCCGCCTCAGCCTCCCAAAGTGCTGGGATTACAGGCGTGAGCCACCGTGCCCGTCAATATATCGATATACTTTTTTAAATAGTGAGAGACACAGTCTCTCTGTTGGCCAGGCTAGAGTGCAGTGGCACAATCATAATTCACTGCAGCCTCAGTACTCCTGGGCTCAGGTGATCCTCTTACCTCAGCCTCTCGAGTAGCTGGGACTGCAGGTGTGCATCACCATGCCCAACTAATGTTTTTAATTTTTAAATTTTATTTCTGTAAGGATGGGGTCTCCCCATGTTGCCTAGATTGGTCTCAGACTCATGGGCTCCAGCAATCCTGCTTCCTCCACCTCCCAAAGTGCTAGGATTGCAGGTGTGAGCCACTGCGCCTGGCCAACATACTTTCTGACGGATTGTGTCTGGGTGTTATAAGTGAATGTTCTATCTTGTTTCCCTCTGTGGAGCAGTCATTGAGTAGTCTGTCAGTGGAAAATGTTGGAGGTTGGCATGATGTTATGTCATTGGGTTGTAAAGTCCCATGGCTTCCAGTTCAGTTCTAACTCTGCCACTCACCACTTTCTTGTCCCCAGTTTTCTCGTCTCTGGTGTTTGAGCTCTGGAAGTTCTGTCCAGCTCGGACACCATTTTTGCACTAGACATGATCCTGGCCCTCAAAGCACTTAGGATTTTACTAGGCAGCCAAGACGTGCCCTGCCAAGAGACAATCGATGGTCCACAACAGCATGTGTGCAGCACCAGTAATGAGTCTTCCTGGTGTTTGGAAAAAGGAATTTTTCTTTGAGTCTACCTTCTCCATACAACATGAGGAAGGCTTTTCGATGATTTTCAAAGTCCTTATTGTAACAGCTGCTGCTACACCAGTAATTTAGACGTCTTGGGCACTGCTCACTTGGTGATATTAGTCATAGGGACCAAGGGCAGTAGTGAAAACAGAAATGTTATAAAGGTTGAATTGCTGAGCTGTCAGCAATGCCCAATTTCAGCTGCACAAAGCTAGCTGTTTGCTAGGGGATGAGGAGCAGCTGGCCTATGTCCTCCCCCCACCTGGGGAATGACTGTTTCCCTAAACTGAGAGAGCAGCAGCAAAAGCTTTGACCCCACCCTGCACCCTGAAGAAACGCTGCTCTGCCACCTGCCTTGCAGGCCCCCTATTCATTCTGTGAAAGCGTACTGCACTGCGAATTGCAGCAGCCCCTCTGTGCGCTGTGTACTGCCACATCCCCTCTTTGAATTCCATTCTAAATGTTACTTGACAATTGGATAAAATTACATTTCAAAGAATGCACTGGACAACATGCATCAGGGACCCATTAAAACATTGCTTTGGTAGATACAAAAATATACTCATTTTCCCAGATTTAAATACTTCTCAGCTCTCTCCAAAGGACTGCGTAACAGATGGTTTCAAAGCGAGTCACATTTACAAACAGCAGACAAAAATATGATTTAGCAGATTCTCTAAGAGTTCGTCTGCGCCTTCCAGAACCAGTCTTTTTCCATGGACTCTTTTATTTCTTATTTGTGGAGGCCCGACTAAAAAGTCTTTTACTTGCTAGCATCCTCTCTGTGTATTTCCTGGCTTGTGGAACATAAGAGTTGAACGACGTTCTAGAGCTATGGTTCTGGCTCTTGTGTTATTTTAGAAAATGCTACCTTGGCCTGAAAAATAGGAATCATTTAGCCCACCATGAACAGTAGCCAAAAACCTGGGGGTGGGAAGTGGGGAGGAGGAGAGAAGAAGGAGGGAGGAATAAACAGATATAGGAATTGTCACAGGAGTTATGAATCATGTACACAGCCATTTAGTAAGGCAAGTGATGTTTCAGTTTAAGTCATCAAAACCAGAACCAACTCCTAGACAACACCTTGCTTTTGAAGTTTTGAAAATAAGTCACATTGACCAGACGTGGTGGCTCCCGCCTGTAATCCCAGCACTTTGGGAGGCCAAAGTGGATGGATCAGCTGAGGTCAGGAGTTCGAGACCAGCCTGGCCAAGATGGTGAAAACCTGTCTCCACTAAAAATACAAAAAATTAGCTGGGCATGGTGGTGTAGGCCTGTAATCCTAGCTACTTGGGAGGCTGAGGCAGGAGAATCGCTTGACCCTGGGAGGTAGAGGTTACAATGAGCTGAGATTGTGCTACTGCATTCCAGCCTGGGCAACAGAGCAAGACTCTGTCTCAAAAATAGAATAAAAATTGCAAGAAGTTTTGCCAGGCGCAGTGGCTCAGACCTGTAATCCCAACACTTTGGGAGGCCGAGGCAGGCGGATCATCCAAGGTCAGGAGTTTGAGACCAGCCTGGCCAACATGGTGAAACCCTATCTCTACTAAAATACAAAAAATTAGCCAGATGTGGTGGTGGGCGCTTGTAATCCCTGCTACTTCAAAGGCTGAGGCAGGAAAATTGCTTGAACCCAGGAGGTGGAGGTTGCAGTGAGCCGAGATCGAGCCACTCCATTCCAGACTGGGCAAATGAGTGAAACTCTGTCTCAGAAAAAAAGAAAAGTCACATCACAAGCATATACTATGAACAGGGAACAGATCCCAGCCCTGGCCTGTCCACCAAGAGCATCCACTGTTGGTGGAGACCTAAACATTAACTCACCAGGAAGGCAGTGTATGTTAGATCCAGATAGCCAACGGTCCTCATGGTCAGAGGAGGGGTGAGGTCACTGGTTCTTCTGTGGATGGGTCCAGGCAAGGGGAGTTATTCATACCAGAGAGGCCTTGAAGGGGTAGGAAGAGGGCTGAGGGCATACCAGATAAACCGAATACCTTGAATAGAGGACCAGAGCAAGCTTATCCAATTCATGGCCCGCAGGCCTTATTCGGCCCAGCGAGGTTTTGAATGCAACCTAACACAAATCCATAAACTTTCTTAAAACATGATGCGATTTTTTTTGGAAAAACTTTTTCAGCACATCAGCTATTGTTAGTGTTAGTGTATTTTATGCATGGCCCAAGACAATTCTTTCAGTGTGGCCCAGGGAAGCCGAAAGATTGGACATTCCTGGCCTAGAGGATGAGGAACATTTGAGGATGGGCAGAGAGAGGAGATTGGGAGACACTTTGGCTTGGAGGAAGCGTGGACACAGAGGAATTGAGAGGAGGGAAAGCAGGCTTGATGATGTGTGACCAATTAGGTTATATTCTTACTGTGCCAATGAGGACTACGTTCTTTCTCTTACTGTTAGCCTTATCTGGAAAACTAACTGTATTTACACCAGCTTTAACACATGTATTGACAAGGAGAAGGAGAAGCCTGAGCAAAGCAACAATATATCTAGGCCTGTTTCAGATTAATAGCACAATTGTGGGTTGTCAGAGAGAAGCCATCCACAAGGAGCTGGTGCATTTTCATCTCTTACAGTGAAAGTCTCCTGTTTATTCCTCCCACTCATGTTCTAGAATTTTATTTATAACACTTTTTGGCCTGCTCTTTAAAGTGTGTGTGTGCCTCTGTGTGTGAGACTGACTGAGAAACTCAAGTGCTCTATTGGGCTTTGAGCTTCTGGAAAACAGGCCCCACAGACATTCCAAGTATTCTAATCATGATCCATTATGCATAAGGAGAAGCAATAGAGACAGAGACGGTGGCCCACTGTTCTGGCTGCACCATCTGGCGTAGTTGCCTCCTGGGCTGAATATCATATGGATCAGCCTCAGCTTCCCTGGTCCTAGCAAGGCTACCTGGCCTCCAGGGCTGTGGAGCTTTCTGGGAGCTGTGTCACTACACTGCAAGGGGCTTCAGGGTGTCACCGGATTCAGTCTTCTGCTGCCGTACAGGTCCAGGACAAGATGTCTCAGACAGGTGGCTAAAAGTGCCTAGAGAGGGAGACACTACCAGCCCTGCTGGGCACTTGGCCTAGGGTTGACCCAGCCTGACAGGCAGGAAGGGCTCCCCCAACTCCCACGGGGTTTGGCAGGGAGGGGGTGGGCTTCCTCACCCTTGTGTGTGGCCCTGGAGTTTGTCGAAGCAAGCTGCAGAGGGACTCACCCTCATTAGGCCAATGCCCTTTCAATGCAGTGAAGCTTAGTGACTGGAGTCTTCCTGTTGCAGTTTAGGGGCGAAGGCTCTTCCACTGGCCCACAGGAGATAAGGAGCAGCTCAGTACTTTGCCTGGGGCTGAATAGACTGAAGATAGGTTGGGTAAACAGAGATTTGCCCTCAGTTTTCTCCTGGTCTGGGTTTTCTCATTAATTGCAAGGAAGCAATGTGATGCAACGGAAAGAACATTCGATTTGAGATTGCACAAACTTGTGTTTGAATTCTTGCTCTGCCATTTTGTTCAGATGTGACCTTGGGAAAGTTACTTAATCTTTCTAGGCTTCAGTTTCCTCAGTTGTAAAATGAGAATAAAAATAGCATCTTCCGGCCGGGTGCAGTGGCTCACACCTGTAATCCCAGCACTTTGGGAGGCCAAGGCGGTGGATCACCTGAGGTCAGGCATTGAAGACCAGCCTGGCCAACATTGCGAAATCCTGTCTCTACTAAAAATACCAAAAACATTAGCCAGGGATGGTGGTGTCTGCCTGTAATCCCAGCTACTCAAGAGGCTGAGGCAGGATAATTGCTTGAACCTGAGAGGTGAAGTTACTGTGAGCTGAGGTCATGTCACTACACTCCAGCCTGGGCAACAGAGCAAGACTCTGTCTCAAAAATTAAAAAAAAAAATAAAAATATAAAATTAATAACATCTTCCTCAAAAGTTGGTTGTGAAGGTTAAAGGTATCTTGAGCCAGTCACAGTGGCTCATGCCTGTAATCATAGCACTTTGGGAGGTTGAGGCAGGCGGATCATGAGGTTAGGAGTTCGAGATTAGCCTGGCCAACATGGTGAAACCACATTTCTACTAAAAATACAACAACAAAAATATTAGCTGGGCATCCTGGCGCGTGCCTGTAGTCCCAGCTACTCAGGAGGCTGAGGCAGAAGAATCGCTTGAACCCAGGAGGTGGAGGTTGCAGTGAGCTGAGATCACGCCACTGCACTCCTGCCTGTGTGCCGGGCGTGGTTGCTCACACCTGTAATCCCAGCACTTTGGGAGGCCAAGGTGGGCAGATCACCTGAGGTCAGGAGTTCGAGACCAGCCTGACCAACATGGAGAAAACCCATCTCTACTAAAAATACAAAATTAGCTGGGTGTGGTGTTATATGCCTGTAATCCTAGCTACTCGGGAGGCTGAGGCAGGAGAATCACTTGAATCCAGGAAGTGGAGGTTGCAGTAAGTGGAGATCGTGCCATTGTACTCCAGACTGGGCAACAAGAGTGAAACTCCATCTCAAAAAAAAAAAGTATCTTGAACATAGTATATAGATGATAAATGTTAGCTCACATCACTTTTACTTTGGTGGGTCATACAGATTTTTTAAAAAATCATTTCAGAAAAACATGCAGGGACTATCTCAATTTCTGTTGATCTAAACATTGCTTTAAATAAATGTGCAACTGCCTAGAGGTTTAGACAGCATTTTGCTGTAGGGAAATGGGGCTGTGATGAGAAGTCTTACAGCAGGATCTCACTGGTATATTCAGAACCTTTCATGCCTTTGGTGGTTTTTTTCAGAGCCCTCTTCAAATTTCTTTTCACCACCTTGCAGAAGAGCTCCAGATTGGACTCAGAACTCTGGGTAAGTTTTCATTCACTGCCAAGTCAAGTGGAAGAATGCCTTCTTGTTTTTGCGGATTATTGTTTTTGAACAAATACAAAATGTTCATTTAACAGGTCCAAATACCCGTTAGAGGTTTCCCATTGGTCACCTGGTGTTCACCCCATGCAAATGAAGTGGTGGCCCACAATCAGTCTGATTGGTTGCATTCTACATTCTGCTTTTGGCTGAAGTGAAGTTACAAAGGTCACACTCCAATGCAAACATCTGATTGGTTGCAGAAAGCATAGTTAACCAGAGAGAAAGAGAAAGTGACTTTTACCTATATTATATAATATAAAGTGCCCAACATAGAGTAGGTATACAATAATTTGAAGCGGCTCTCTCTCTCTCTGTCTCTCTCTCTCTCTCTCTCTCTCTCTCTCTCTCTCTGTGTGTGTATGTATGTGTATATATATATATATATATATATATATATATTTTTTTTTTTTTTTTTTTTTTTGAGACAGGGTCTTGCTCTGTCACCCAGGCTGGAGTGCAGTGGCTCAATCTTAGCTTACTGCAGCCTTGATTTCCTGGGCTCAAACAATCCTTCCACCTCAGCCTTCTGAGTAGCTGGGACTACAGAAGCACACTGCCACACCCACCTATTTTTTTTTTACTTTTTATTATTAGTAGAGATGATGTCTCATTGTGTTGCCCAGGCTGGTCTCAAACTCCTGAGCTCAAGCAATCCTCCCACCTCAGCCTCCTAAGGTTCTGGGATTACAGGCATGAGCCACCATACCTAGCCTAGCAGCTGCTATTATTATGAGTACTTTTATTATTATTATAAAGCATAAGACAATGGGGGAAGACACTCAAGGGGAAAGCTTTCTCCTTCCTCCCCTTGACTGGAATGCTGAGCCCCAAATGGATATACATTACATCAAAGGCCTGTTCACTCATCTTAGCGAGATTTTGAAATTCCCTCATCTGAAGTCAATAAAGCCCCCGTATTTGTCAACTTGATCCTTGAGCCTGAGACCAGAGAGAAAGAGAAAGTGACTGGCCAGCCTAAAGTTCTTTGTAATTGCTCCAGACAAAAGGTTAATGAGGAAGTGGAGAGGCCCTTCCATGGAGGACACAAAGGCCGGGGCCCTCCCTTCAAGGAACTTAGACTCTCCCCTAGTCTCACTCCCCTCTCTATTATACCCACTTGTATGTTGTTTTGTAAGTGTCCTTAAGGCTTTTCTCAAGAGAGCCGCTTGGAGATCGCTAATTAGGCCTGTAAACCCATGGGAGACAAGGGCCTCTGGCTTTGATTTCTTTTGTTTCCCTCTCCCTCTCACAGAGACTAGCACAGGGCAGGGCCTCAATAGAAGTTGCTGACTGACCTTGGGGACTTGGTCAACAGGCTAGTTAGAAGCTCCAGCTTAAGTTGTGTTAAGTGGCATTCACTGATGACTGTGGCTGGCTGGCTGTTGCAGACAGAGCTGAAGAAACCACAGAGTCTGAGGCTGCCAAGGGCAGTTCAGGAGGGAAGGCCAGGCAGTGAGCAGATGGGGGTTTGGGGGAGGTAGCACCGGGGGTGGCTCAGTCATCTCCTTCAGTAGATTGGATGTTATTGCCTCTACAACATGTGCTCAGATTTCCTTCTGTGCAATTGACAGCAAACTGCCTGTTAAGAGTGATCGGAGCCAAAGGGAGTGGGGCTGAAGCAGATGGGGGGATATATTTTTGAAAAGCCTGACCTTTTAATATGCATTTAATACTGTAAACATCTTTTGATTACTGCTATCACTGCCACAACAGAGGCACTGACTCTATGAGATTTTATATGATATTTACTTCTGTTGGCTAGGGATTCATTTCTCAGGTTAGCCAAAGCACAGCTGTCGTCCGGGGGCGGTGGATTATGCCTGTAATCTCACCACTTTCGGAGGTCAGGGTGGGTAGATTACTTGGGGGTCAGGAGTTCTAGAGCAGCCTGGCCAACATGGTGAAACCCTGTATCTACTAAAAATACAAAAAATTAGCCAGGTGTGGTGGCGTACACCTGTGATCCCCGCTACTTGGGAGGCTGAGGCAGGAGAATCACTTGAACCCTGGAGGTGGAGGTCGCAGTGAGCTGAGATTGTGCCATTGCACTCCAGCCTGGGCGATGGAGTGAGACTTCGACTCAGGAAAAAAAAAAAAAAAAAGCACAACTGCCTGTCTGGTTGATAATGGAAATTTGGGGCAGCCTTTTTGTCTGCAGGGAATAGAAGAGAGCATACCTGTAGTAAGGAGGCATTCCTAGTGGAGCCACTGGGATACTGTGTGACTTAGGGACTGTCGTGTCCCGCTTAGGATCACCTTCCTCACAGAATCCTAAGAATGGAAAGGCATGTAACCAACTGAATATGACCATAGCAGGTGCCCAACCAAATTTGAGAGTGAGAAAACAACATTGCTGAAGTCTGTTAGGGGAAGAATGAGCAGATTTAATCCGAGTGGCTCCTAAAGGCGGAGCTGGGAACAAAGGGGAGAAGTTCCAAGGAGGCAGATTTCACCTCTATGTAAGGAAGAACTTTCGAACCAATTAGAGCCGTTACAATTTAAATAGGCTGCCTGCTAAGGTAATGCTTTCTCCAAGCAGGGAATTGTTTAAGTTTCCGATTTAGTCCCTCTAACCACATATCCTGCTTCTTTGCCCAAATTTGCAAAACCAAAGCCCTAACTGCTCATGATTCAGAGACTACAGTGAGACCCCGACATCCTAACCTCAGTGGCTTTTGGCTCCAGAGCCACTGCCAGACCCTGCTTGCATACGTGGATTTCTTTCCCTAGAAATCAAAGTAGGAGCCCCCAAGCTGGTCTCCTGCTCGGGGCGTGGCTCCCGTCTTAGCACTTCCTGAAGTGAGTTAAGATGGTCCTGCTTTGGCCCTCAGGGAGTTAGTTGGACACTCCAGGTGTTGGCCCTTCCTTCTGGTGTTGGACTTTCTGGGTGCCAGGCAGGCCCTGCATCCCACCTGTTCAGCAACTTTCTAAAGCAAGTCCATTCCTCTGCCCCAAGGAAGATCTGCCACCAAGCAAACTTGGCAAGGAAATACAAGATGTTTACAAAACTACAAACCATTTTTCACTAGCTTGCCAGTCCCCTAAAGGTACTGTAAGAGCAAAAGACTTGAAATTAGCGTTCTTGACCTGTGACCCCACACAAATCATCATTCCCCAGAAAAAGTGGCTATTCACAAAGCAGAATTCAGCCATTCCCTCCTGCTCGACACAACCTGGACATGTGCGTTTAAAGAGGCAGATTTAGAGCCATCCGGTGTTCCATCTAAGCTTTAAATGTATTCAGCCTTCAAATGAGTGCTCATTACAAAGAAAGCGTTCAGGACTTTTGAATACTACTTTCAATAATAATACTTTACCTTGGGGGAGGGGAGGACTAATCTATTTACAATTTGCAAAGCCTTTTCAAGAACCTGGACCTAAATCAAAGCAAGACTCAGCACACCCCTGGAACAGAAGTGCTCAATGGATGTTAAGATTTCTTTCTTTCTTGTTTTTCTTTCTTTCTTTCTTTTTTCTTTTTCTTTTCTTTTTTTTTTTTTTTTTTTTTTTTTTTTTTTTTTTGAGATAGTCTCACTCTGTCGTCCAGGCTGGAGTGCAGTGCCACAATCATGGCTCACTGCAGCCTCGACCTCCCCAGGCTCAGGTGATCCTCCTACCTCAGACTCCTGAGTGGCTGGGATTACAGGCATTTGACACCACACCTGGCTAATTATTTTGTATTTTTTTTTTTTTTTTTTTTTTTTTTTTTTGTAGAGCTGGGGTTTCTTCTCCATGTTGCCCAAGCTGGTCTTGAACTCCTGGACTCAAGCGATCTGCCTTAGCCTCAGACCCACCAAAGTGCTAGGATTACAGCGTGAGCCACTGTGCCTGACTGAATGCTAAGATTTCAGTGGAAATCTCAGATGCCACTGTCCCCTTGGAGCGTGACCAGAGCAGGTACTGTTATTCACCTTCAGTTTACAGATGAAGAAACTGAGGCCTACAAATGTTCATGACTTGTCGTCTCACCTTATCTGGTTATCTTGAACTAAACAGAATGCAGAAGCCATAAAAATGAACTGGCCTCCTGTGCTGTTCTGTGTAAGGCGGATCTGTTATGGGGGACAAGGGAGGCTTCTCTCCAATACTTTTATATGGCATTGCACAATGCCTGATCTCTGAAAAGCCCCAGAGGTGATGGTGTCCAGGAGGTTTGGGGTCTGAATGTCTTCTTCCACCTCCAAATCTTATCCCAGAAGTGTAGGATGGGTCTTTATGATTTTAGTAACTCAAAAACCCAGATATTTTCTTGAGTCTGCTGTTTTGTTACATTTGAGGAGGTCTTTGTTATTGTCAGGTTCTCTTTTGCTTTCAAAGGTTTTTAAAGTTTTGTTTTGTTTTGTTTTAAAGTTTCTCTTCCTCCTCCTCCACCTTCTCTTATGAGAAAGGGAAAATCCAGGTGCGGTGGCTCATCCGTGTAAACCCAGCATTTAGGGAGGCCAAGGGAGGAGGATTGCTTGAGACCGGGAGTTCCAGACCAGCCTGGGCAACAGAGCAAGACCTTGTCTCTACAATAAATAGAAAAATTAGCTGTGTCATGCCCCTGTGGTCCCAGCTACTTAGAAAGCTGAGGTGGGAGGATTGATTGAGCTCGGGAATTTGAGGCTGTAGTGGGCTATGATCGTGCCCCCATGCACCAGCCTGAGTGACAGAGTGAGACCCTGTCTCAAAAATTTTTTTTGAGGTCAGGAGATCGAGACCATCCTGGCTAACACAGTGAAACCCCGTCTCTACTAAAAATACAAAAAAATAGCCTGGCATGGTGGCACGCACCTGTAGTCCCAGCTACTCAGGAGGTTGAGGCAGGAGAATCGCTTGAACCTGGGAGACAGAGGTTGCCGTAAACCAAGATCGCACCACTGTACTCCAGCCTGGGCAACAGAGCAAGACTCTGTCTCGAAAGAAAAAAAAAAAAAAAGAAAAGAAAAAAGAAAAAGGGA